GGCTTCTTAAAGAAAAACTAACAGGTCTGTGAGAGCCGGAATTCTTACTGGTTGGTAGGTGATCAAATACTTATATCATGCAATAAAATGCAAATTAATTACTTAAAAACAATGTTATTTTCTGGATTTTTGTTTTAGATTCCGTCTCTCAGGAGTTGAAGTGTACCTATGATAAAAATGACAGACCTCTACATGCTTTGTAAGTAGGAAAACCTGCAAAATCGGCAGTGTATCAAATACTTGTTCTCCCCACTGTATGTATGGTCCAATATATGTTTTTATTTTATTAATTTTTTACAAATACCAAATATGTTATTGGGCTCATTTCTGGAGGTGGAAATTATACTTTAGATGGTGTCGACATAATTTTATTTTCATTCATTTTGGAGTAAATGTCCTTTTTAGAAAGTCATTAGAACTGAGCTTCTCAGTCCTCCGACATAGAATTTGCAAAAGCAGTTAAGATAACATTTTAATTGAATGCAATATCATGACTTAATATCATGACTGGGTCATTTTTATTGAATCATGATTACCTATTTTTTATTTTCTTACACCAAATACAAACATACATGTACAAACAACAACTTAGACGCACCCATCCAACGACTACATCTCCTCTGCCCAGACCCACATGCTCACCCATCCAACGACTACATCTCCTCTGCCCAGACCCACATGCTCACACCATCCAACGACTACATCTCCTCTGCCCAGACCCACATGCTCACACCATCCAACGACTACATCTCCTCTGCCCAGACCCCCATGCTCACACCATCCAACGACTACATCTCCTCTGCCCAGACCCCCATGCTCACACCATCCAACGACTACATCTCCTCTGCCCAGACCCACATGCTCACACCATCCAACGACTACATCTCCTCTGCCCAGACCCACATGCTCACACCATCCCTAGCGCCTGCATTATTGTTTACCACATGGCCTGAAACTGCACCATTTTGTTTCTTTCCCTAGCCTTTAATATTTCAATAATAAATCATTTGATTTTTCCATTGTGTTAATGATGGCAGATTGATTGATTTCCAGGTTTTTAATATACGTTTTTTCAAGATGAGTGATGAGAAGAGAATCGTCCAGCCCATTGGGCATCTCACTACACCCCCATATGTCATGTCTTGAAATACGCAGACAGACGGATTCAAAGTACGTTTCCATTGTAATACTTCTGACACACAACTTTCTAGCGCCGCCCACAGCTTTTGGACTTCATAGTCCTCTGTAGCTCAATTGGTAGAGCACGGCGCTTGTAACGCCAGGGTAGTGGGTTCGATCCCCGGGACCACCCATACACAAAAATGTATGCACACATGACTGTAAGTCGCTTTGGATAAAAGCGTCTGCTAAATGGCATAATATTATTTTATTAATATTATATATTAATATTATAGCATTCCCAGAAAGCACGGATTATTGAATCCTTGTTAGTTTTACACTTAAGACATGACTCTGCCGTTGTGCTGTAGAATTTGTGAATTTTGTCTCTTGTATAATAAATTCTATACATTATTTATACTGCATTAAGAAATCCTCTTTTTGTTGCTGCCTTAAAGGGTAACTCTCAAACCCAGCCTTTTCCCCTTCAATTAAAAAACTAAATGCATTCTGGTGAGAAGTTGTGGGTGGGGAGAATTGCTCATAAATATTCATTTTGGGGGGTGGGTAAACGTTGTTGTACCTGATCCCAACATTTCCTCACTAAAGCATACTGATCAGAAGTCCACTGTCACGCTCTGATAATACAATTGTGCATCGCAAGCAAATGTGTCCCTCGACAGTTAGCTCAGTGTTAAGGTGCAGAGTTCCTGTCCCTGGACAGTTAGCTCAGTGTTAAGGTGCAGAGTTCCTGTCCCTGGACAGTTAGCTCAGTGTTAAGGTGCAGAGTTCCTGTCCCTGGACAGTTAGCTCAGTGTTAAGGTGCAGAGTTCCTGTCCCTGGACAGTTAGCTCAGTGTTAAGGTGCAGAGTTCCTGTCCCTGGACAGTTAGCTCAGTGTTAAGGTGCAGAGTTCCTGTCCCTGGACAGTTAGCTCAGTGTTAAGGTGCAGAGTTCCTGTCCCTGGACAGTTAGCTCAGTGTTAAGGTGCAGAGTTCCTGTCCCTGGACAGTTAGCTCAGTGTTAAGGTGCAGAGTTCCTGTCCCTGGACAGTTAGCTCAGTGTTAAGGTGCAGAGTTCCTGTCCCTGGACAGTTAGCTCGGTGTTAAGGTGCAGAGTTCCTGTCCCTGGACAGTTAGCTCAGTGTTAAGGTGCAGAGTTCCTGTCCCTGGACAGTTAGCTCAGTGTTAAGGTGCAGAGTTCCTGTCCCTGGACAGTTAGCTCAGTGTTAAGGTGCAGAGTTCCTGTCATTGCCACTTGCGGTGTAAATTCTAATCCCACATGGGGCACCAAAAAATGATTTGAATTGTGAACTCACATTTATTGGGGTATTTTGTTTGGAAGAAAAGTGAAATCATCACCTTGAAAATTAAGATTAGGGGCTAAATTCAATCCAACCCACATTGCAGTATTTACACAGTGGCTCTTTTTCCAATGCTCAAATCAACTCACAGATTTGGTTTTGTTCAAGAAAGTCTTAACATTGAGGCCTACGTCCATGTTTACTTTCCTTGCACATCTTCATCCTCCCAAACCTGCAACTTCATCCTCCCAAACCTTGTCCTTCATCCTCCCAAACCTGGTGCCTTCATCCTCCCAAACCTGGTCTTTCATCCTCCCTAACCTTCACCTTCATCCTCCCAAACATTGTCCTTCATCCTCCCAAACCTGCAACTTCATCCTCCCAAACCTGGTCTTTCATCCTCCCAAACCTGGTCTTTCATCCTCCCAAACCTTGTCCTTCATCCTCCCAAACCTGCAACTTCATCCTCCCAAACCTGCAACTTCATCCTCCCAAACCTGCAACTTCATCCTCCCAAACCGTCTCCTTCATCCTCCCAAACCTGGTACTTCATCCTCCCTAACAAGCCTCCAGTCCTCCTGGGCTCATTTCTCACCACCTTGGCACCTGGTCCCACTTCACTCCCTTCCGCTTGACCTGAACCCTTCAATGTTTTTAGATATAAGCAGTGTAGTGGTGGAGCTCTCACCATATTGCTCCCCAATGGAAAGGGTTAGCCCCAATGGAAAGGGTTAGCCCCAAGGGGAAGGGTTAGCCCCAAGGGAAAGGGTTAGCCCCAAGGGAAAGGGTTAGCCCCAAGGGGAAGGGTTAGCCCCAAGGGGAAGGGTTAGCCCCAAGGGGAAGGGTTAGCCCCAAGGGGAAGGGTTAGCCCCAATGGAAAGGGTTAGCCCCAAGGGAAAGGGTTAGCCCCAATGGAAAGGGTTAGCCCCAATGGAAAGGGTTAGCCCCAAGGGAAAGGGTTAGCCCCAATGGAAAGGGTTAGCCCCAAGGGAAAGGGTTAGCCCCAAGGGAAAGGGTTAGCCCCAAGGGAAGGGTTAGCCCCAAGGGGAAGGGAGCGAATTTCTAATCGGTTGTGTGTCTCCCTGCTTTGCAGTCATCTCAAAGCCTTTTGCCACCCTGGCATGGCTGTGTGTTTGGCATGGCCATCCATTCAACTTACCCACCCTGGCTGGCTGTGTGACCATCCAATCTACAGCATGTATTGGCCTGTGCCTCAACACCTCAGCATGACTGCTGCACCTACCATTTTGCCACCATCAGACTCTTTCTCTTTTGCTTCCTTATTCTTATCTCTATCTATACTCTACTCTCTCTATCTCTGTCTATTCCTGATTATAGATCTTATATATATCTATATTCTATAATCTCTCTCTATATCTATATCTCTTCTCTCTCTCTCTCTCTCTCGATATATCTTCTCTCTTCTCTCTCTCTATCTCTCTCTATCTCTCTCTCTCTCTCTCTCTCTCTCTATCTCTCTCTCTGTCTCTCTCTCTCTCTCTCTCTCTCTCTCTCTCTCTCTCTCTCTCTATTCTGGTGGTTGATATTCCAGGAACCTGTTCTGTTGCTTCATTCTCTTTGCTTCCTGGTTTCCTGGCCAATACCCTGCTGCTGCTATGCCTGTTGGATAGAGCCCACTGCTCTGTGCCAGTTTCACCTCCCTGCCGCTCCACAAAGCTGTGAAACCTCTTCCATTCACTGGCTCTGGAAAAATGCACAATAACTTTTCTGTTCATAGGATTTGTAAATAGTTTACAGGTGTGCTGCTCTGCAGTTATTCTATCCTATAGCCCACTGAACAAAAATATCAACGCAACATGTTAAGTGTTGGTCCCATGTTTCATGAGCTGAAATAAGATCCCAGGAATGTTCCATACGAACAGAAATCTTAACTGCTGTTTCAGGGTCTTGTTCAGCTAGCTGCTTTCACTTGACTGCTTCCTTTATTCCACTTTGTTCCGCCTGTACCGAAAGGTCTTCACTCATATTTCAATTACGTATATTGTAGTTGCTTGATATTTGTGGTGTCATCCAGTAGGCTATCTCTCGAGGGACCATGTCACCGCCCTGAAGACCGTCTGGTTAGTGGTTATGAGGTCCGGGTGGAATGTGAAGAGGTGGATGTTTTACAGTCAGTTTAGTCGCTGACCTTCCTTGATGTCTCGCTATTATAAGACATGAATGCAAATAACAGTAATGTGACTTGCTAAAGCAAGAACCAGTCCCTCCAGGATGTCACAGATTTTTTGTAAAAATTTGCAGGCAAAAATGCTTGATTTTGGTTCTACAATTCGGACATTTTGCATGGCAATATGCAATGATTTTGTCCAATTTTGTTGCGAAAAATGCGCTGACGAGGGAAAAGGTTTGTCGCTACATCCTCTATGTCTGTTGGGAGATATCCTTCCTCTCTCGGTTCTCAGTTTTGATTTGCTGCTGCCTTCAGCTAGTGTTGCTGCCATTGTGACTGTATTGTACCAGGGTTGGTTTGTTGACGTTTCTTCTTTCTCCTTCCCTCTCTCCTTTATCTTATCCCTCTATTTCTTCCTCTTCTCTTTCCCTCTCTCCTCCATCTCCAGATCCGAAGGACCCTATAGCCATCGAGCGGTTGAACCTGATGAACATGGCTAAGCTGAGCATCAAGGGCCTGATTGAGTCGGCCCTGAACCTGGGCCGAACCCTGGACTCCGACTACGCTCCGCTGCAGCAGTTCTTCGTGGTCATGGAGCACTGCCTCAAACACGGACTCAAAAGTACGGAGACGTGTGACATCCCCTACCTACCTATGTTATTGTTTGTTCTTGCCTGGTCCCAGATCTGTTTGTGCGGTCTTGCCAACGCCTATGGTCATTGTTTCACCAAACGTGACATTGACCATAGGAGTTGGTTGGCAAAACAGATCTGGGACATGTCTGTACTAGATGTAGGCTTGTTTCTCTGGTGTAACAAGAATCACTAGTCACATCCCTTCTAATAATGATTTGAGAACCGTGCTCCCAAATTATTACAAACACATCGACTGTCGTAACTCGCAGAAATTCTACTCTTTACCACTTCTACACGCCTTTTGGACACGGGGTATAAGGCCCTCTCCCGCCTCCTTTCGGCATATCCGACCATGACTCCATCTTGCTTCTCCCCGCCTACAAACAAAGACTCAAGAGGGAAGTGCCGGTGGTCAGGTCTGTACAGCGTTGGTCCGTACAGCGTTGGTCCAACCAATCACAATTCAGGCTCCAAGACTGTTTTGATCACGTGGACTGAAATATGTTCCGGGTTGTCTCTGGAGATAACATCAATGAAGACGCCGACTCAGTCACCAGATTCATAAAACAATGCATAGATGACGTGATTTACTCCAGTAGTAGTAGTTGGCCTGATTACCAACAGCAACGAGACGGCCTACAGAGAGGAGGGAGGCACACTGACAGGTAAACAACCTCTCCCTCAACGTTAGCAAAACAAAGGAGCTGATTGTGGACTTCAGGAGGAATCAGGCTGGACACGAACCCCATCCTCATCAACGGGGCCTCCGTAGAGATGGTCTTCTAATTCCTCAGAGTAAACATCTCAGAGCAGCTGAACTGGTCTAACCACACGGACACCGTGGTGAAGAAGGCACGACAGAGACTCTTCAACCTCAGGAGGCTGATGAAATGTGGCCTGTCCCCGAGGGCCTCACAGTGTTCTACAGGAGCACCATCGAGAGCATACTGTCGTGCTGCATCACAGCCTGGTAGGCAGCTCCACCGCCGCGGACCGCATGGTGCTTCAGAGGGTGATGCGGCCAGCCGAATGCACCATTGGGTGCACACTGCCTGGCCTCCAGGACACCTACAGCACCCGGTGTCACAGGAAGGCCAAGAAGATCATCAAGGACCCCAGCCACCCAAACAATGCCCTGCTCTCCCCGCTTCCATCCCTCAGACGCGGGCAGTACAGGAGCATCATGGGAAAAACTGGAAGGACTGGCCAATAGCTTCTACCCCCAGTCCATCAGGCTGCTGAATAGCCACCACTAGTCAGCTACCCACAACCCCCTCCTACATTCAGGATGCTTAGAAGCAAAGTGCCCTGTTTAGCCCAGAGTTTTTCAGGATGATCTTAGCATTGGTGTTCTGTAGTATTCTTGGCCTAACGTTCCCTCTACCAAACCCCTCAGCCAAGAAGACGTTCCTGGGGCAGAACAAGTCTTTCTGGGGGGCCCTGGAGCTGGTGGAGAAGCTCACCCCGGAGGCTGGAGAGATCACGGCCAGCGTCAAAGACCTGCCAGGACTCAAGTAAGACCTTAGCCTGACTAACGTCATCCCTAATGTCCTCTTCCCATCCCTAATGTCCTCTTCCCATCTGAATAACACCATCTCTAATGTCCTCTTCCTGTCTGAATAACACCATCTCTAATGTCCTCTTCCCATCTGAATAACACCATCCCTAATGTCCTCTTCCCATCTGAATAACACCATCCCTAATGTCCTCTTCCCGTCTGAATAACACCATCTCTAATGTCCTCTTCCTGTCTGAATAACACCATCTCTAATGTCCTCTTCCCATCTGAATAACACCATCCCTAATGTCCTCTTCCCATCTGAATAACACCATCCCTAATGTCCTCTTCCCGTCTGAATAACACCATCTCTAATGTCCTCTTCACATCTGAATAACACCATCTCTAATGTCCTCTTCCCATCTGAATAACACCATCTCTAATGTCCTCTTCCCATCTGAATAACATCATCTATAATGTCCTCTTCCCATCTGAATAACACCATCTCTAATGTCCTCTTCCCGTCTGAATAACACCATCTCTAATGTCCTCTTCCCATCTGAATAACACCATCTCTAATGTCCTCTTCCCATCTGAATAACATCATCCCTAATGTCCTCTTCCCATCTGAATAACACCATTAATGTCCTCTTCCCATCTGAATAACATCATCCCTAATGTCCTCTTCCCATCTGAATAACACCATCCCTAATGTCCTCTTCCCGTCTGAATAACACCATTAATGTCCTCTTCCCATCTGAATAACACCATCCCTAATGTCCTCTTCCCATCTGAATAACGCCATTAATGTCCTCTTCCCATCTGAATAACACCATTAATGTCCTCTTCCCATCTGAATAACACCATCCCTAATGTCATCTTCCCATCTGAATAACACCATTAATGTCCTCTTCCCATCTGAATAACACCATCTCTAATGTCCTCTTCCCATCTGAATAACACCATCCCTAATGTCCTCTTCCCATCCCTAATGTCCTCTTCCCATCTGAATAACATCATCCCTAATGTCATCTTCCCATCTGAATAACATCATCCCTAATGTCATCTTCCCATCTGAATAACACCATTAATGTCCTCTTCCCATCTGAATAACACCATCTCTAATGTCCTCTTCCCATCTGAATAACACCATCCCTAATGTCCTCTTCCAATCTGAATAACACCATCTCTAATGTCCTCTTCCCATCCCTAATGTCCTCTTCCCATCCCTAATGTCCTCTTCCCATTAAATCAAAATATTGAAGATCTACAGGTAACTGCCAAAATAAAGGAAACCCCAACATAAAGCGTCTTAACAGGGCGTTGGTTGGGCCACCACGAGCCAGAACAGCTTCAATGCTCCTTGGCATAGATTCTACAAGAGTCTGGAACTCTATTGGAGGGATGAGACACCATTCTTCCACCAGAAATTCCATCATTAGGTGTTTTGTTGATGGTGGTGGAAAATGCTGTCTCAGGTGTTCAATAGGGTTAAGATCTGGTGACACACACACGTTTGTTTTACTATCCTTGTGGGGACCAAATTTTCCCATTTTAAAATCCTATTTTACCTAACCCTAATTCTAACCCCTAAGCCTAAGATAGATGTTTTCCTTGGCAAAATGTCCCCAATTTTCCTTGTTTTACTATCCATGTGAGGACTTCTGGTTGTAAGCTAACATATAGAATTGTTTTAAGATGGTCATACCAAGGATCATTTAGCTATTTGATTTGGATGAAGCATTGAATTTGGCATTACTGCTATTAGCCAATAGAAATGCAATGAGTAACAAATTAATCTACATGGAACAACAGAAAGTCCCCCAAAATCTCAAGGAACGTTGTTCTGAAGTGTCTGTCCTATATCTGAGAGATATAAGATCAGGGAAAATTTTTAAATGTTTTATTTTAGGCACTAAACTATCTCCATATATACTTCCATTCATTTTTTAAAAACTAGTACCGGGACCTTCAGATGAGTCCTGTGACGCATGTGGGGGTCGTAGAGCCAAACGGAGAGTCTCATCTTTCAAGAGGCCAAACCGTTCAAACGCTACAGACGTTTTTTGTGAGAAGACCAATTTTCGGGACGTCTCATGGTCTGACAAACACCTCTGTAGCTCTGTCACCTTTCACAGCAGATGCGGAAGGGCGATATCGGCGGATTGAGACAGAATATATCTGTAGCTTAAACTGACAGATTCTGATGGGGATTCTATTATTCTGTTTATTGGGGGTTGCGGAAGTTGTAAGGTCATTAAACCCCCTGTGCTCCTTTGAGACCCCTCTCTGAAACCCCCTGTGCTCCTTTGAGACCCCTCTCTGAAACCCCCTGTGCTCCTTTGAGACCCCTCTCTGAAACCCCCTGTGCTCCTTTGAGACCCTCTCTGAAACCCCCTGTGCTCCTTTGAGACCCCTCTCTGAAACCCCCTGTGCTCCTTTGAGACCCCTCTCTGAAACCCCCTGTGCTCCTTTGAGACCCCTCTCTGAAACCCCCTGTGCTCCTTTGAGACCCTCTCTGAAAACCCCCTGTGCTCCTTTGAGACCCCTCTCTGAAACCCCCTGTGCTCCTTTGAGACCCCTCTCTGAAACCCCCTGTGCTCCTTTGAGACCCCTCTCTGAAACCCCCTGTGCTCCTTTGAGACCCCTCTCTGAAACCCCCTGTGCTCCTTTGAGACCCCTCTCTGAAACCCCCTGTGCTCCTTTGAGACCCCTCTCTGAAACCCCCTGTGCTCCTTTGAGACCCCTCTCTGAAACCCCCTGTGCTCCTTTGAGACCCCTCTCTGAAACCCCCTGTGCTCCTTTGAGACCCCTCTCTGAAACCCCCTGTGCTCCTTTGAGACCCCTCTCTGAAACCCCCTGTGCTCCTTTGAGACCCCTCTCTGAAACCCCCTGTGCTCCTTTGAGACCCCTCTCTGAAACCCCCTGTGCTCCTTTGAGACCCCTCTCTGAAACCCCCTGTGCTCCTTTGAGACCCCTCTCTGAAACCCCCTGTGCTCCTTTGAGACCCCTCTCTGAAACCCCCTGTGCTCCTTTGAGACCCCTCTCTGAAAACCCCCTGTGCTCCTTTGAGACCCCTCTCTGAAACCCCCTGTGCTCCTTTGAGACCCCTCTCTGAAACCCCCTGTGCTCCTTTGAGACCCCTCTCTGAAACCCCCTGTGCTCCTTTGAGACCCCTCTCTGAAACCCCCTGTGCTCCTTTGAGACCCACTCTCTGAAACCCCCTGTGCTCCTTTGAGACCCCTCTCTGAAACCCCCTGTGCTCCTTTGAGACCCCTCTCTGAAACCCCCTATGCTCCTTTGAGACCCCTCTCTGAAAGTCACTGAGATCTCTTCTTCTAGCCATGGTAGCCAAAATAATGGGCAAGCCTCCCAAAGCATGATGGGATGTTTTTTAAATGCTTAATTATCTCAGGAACCACACCTGTGTGGAAGCACCTGCTTTCAATATACTCTGTATCCCTCATTTACTCAAGTGTTTCCTTTATTTTGGCAGTTACCTGTATGTCTCTAAGTCTATTCATTGGATTGTTTGGCAGTTACCTGGATGTCTCTAAGTCTATTCATTGGATTGTTTGGCAGTTCCCTGGATGTCTCTAAGTCTATTCATTGGATTGTTTGGCAGTTACCTGGATGTCTCTAAGTCTATTCATTGGATTGTTTGGCAGTTCCCTGTATATCTCTAAGTCTATTCATTGGATTGTTTGGCAGTTCCCTGGATGTCTCTAAGTCTATTCATTGGATTGTTTGGCAGTTCCCTGTATATCTCTAAGTCTATTCATTGGATTGTTTGGCAGTTCCCTGTATATCTCTAAGTCTATTCATTGGATTGTTTGGCAGTTACCTGTATATCTCTAAGTCTATTCATTGGATTGTTTGGCAGTTACCTGGATGTCTCTAAGTCTATTCATTGGATTGTTTGGCAGTTCCCTGTATATCTCTAAGTCTATTCATTGGATTGTTTGGCAGTTCCCTGTATATCTCTAAGTCTATTCATTGGATTGTTTGGCAGTTCCCTGTATATCTCTAAGTCTATTCATTGGATTGTTTGGCAGTTACCTGTATATCTCTAAGTCTATTCATTGGATTGTTTGGCAGTTACCTGGATGTCTCTAAGTCTATTCATTGGATTGTTTGGCAGTTCCCTGTATATCTCTAAGTCTATTCATTGGATTGTTTGGCAGTTCCCTGTATATCTCTAAGTCTATTCATTGGATTGTTTGGCAGTTACCTGGATGTCTCTAAGTCTATTCATTGGATTGTTTGGCAGTTACCTGGATGTCTCTAAGTCTATTCATTGGATTGTTTGGCAGTTACCTGTATATCTCTAAGTCTATTCATTGGATTGTTTGGCAGTTACCTGGATGTCTCTAAGTCTATTCATTGGATTGTTTGGCAGTTACCTGGATGTCTCTAAGTCTATTCATTGGATTATTTGGCAGTTACCTGGATGTCTCTAAGTCTATTCATTGGATTGTTTGGCAGTTCCCTGTATATCTCTAAGTCTATTCATTGGATTGTTTGGCAGTTCCCTGTATATCTCTAAGTCTATTCATTGGATTGTTTGGCAGTTACCTGTATATCTCTAAGTTATTCATTGATTGTTTGGCAGTTACTGGATGTCTCTAAGTCTATTCATTGGATTGTTTGGCAGTTACCTGGATGTCTCTAAGTCTATTCATTGGATTGTTTGGCAGTTACCTGGATGTCTCTAAGTCTATTCATTGGATTGTTTGGCAGTTACCTGGATGTCTCTAAGTCTATTCATTGGATTGTTTGGCAGTTACCTGGATGTCTCTAAGTCTATTCATTGGATTGTTTGGCAGTTACCTGGATGTCTCTAAGTCTATTCATTGGATTGTTTGGCAGTTACCTGGATGTCTCTAAGTCTATTCATTGGATTGTTTGGCAGTTACCTGGATGTCTCTAAGTCTATTCATTGGATTGTTTGGCAGTTCCTGTATATCTCTAAGTCTATTCATTGGATTGTTTGGCAGTTCCCTGTATATCTCAAAGTCTATTCATTGGATTGTTTGGCAGTTCCCTGTATATCTCTAAGTCTATTCATTGGATTGTTTGGCAGTTCCCTGTATATCTCTAAGTCTATTCATTGGATTGTTTGGCAGTTCCCTGTATATCTCTAAGTCTATTCATTGGATTGTTTGGCAGTTCCCTGTATATCTCTAAGTCTATTCATTGGATTGTTTGGCAGTTCCCTGTATATCTCTAAGTCTATTCATTGGATTGTTTGGCAGTTCCCTGTATTCTCTAAGTCTATTCATTGGATTGTTTGGCAGTTTACCTGGATGTCTCTAAGTCTATTCATTGGATGTTTGGCAGTTTCCCTGTATACTCTAAGTCTATTCATTGGATTGTTTGGCCAGTTCCCTGTATATCTCTAAGTCTATTCATTGGATTGTTTGGCAGTTACCTGTATATCTCAAGTCTATTCATTGGATTGTTTGGCAGTTACCTGGATGTCTCTAAGTCTATTCATTGGATTGTTTGGCAGTTCCCTGTATATCTCTAAGTCTATTCATTGGATTGTTTGAGCCCAGCATTAGGTGGAGTTACAATGGTAGACAGACTCACACTGTTCACTTGGTATCTGATTGGTGTAAACATGTCACACATTGTGTAGTTGATACATCATTGGCCTAACCCCCTGTTCATCAGTTGAGTTATGTGATTGGCCTAACCCCCTGTTCATCAGTTGAGTTATGTGATTGGTGTAACCCCCTGTTCATCAGTTGAGTTATGTGATTGGTGTAACCCCCTGTTCATCAGTTGTTTATATGTGATTGGTGTAACCCCCTGTTCATCAGTTGAGTTATGTGATTGGCCTAACCCCCTGTTCATCAGTTGTTGATATGTAATTGGTGTAACCCCCTGTTCATCAGTTGTTGATATGTGATTGGTGTAACCCCCTGTTCATCAGTTGAGTTGATATGTGATTGGTGTAACCCCCTGTTCATCAGTTGAGTTATGTGATTGGTGTAACCCCCTGTTCATCAGTTGAGTTATGTGATTGGTGTAACCCCCTGTTCATCAGTTGAGTTATGTGATTGGTGTAACCCCCTGTTCATCAGTTGAGTTATGTGATTGGTGTAACCCCCTGTTCATCAGTTGAGTTATGTGATTGGTGTAACCCCCTGTTCATCAGTTGTTTATATGTGATTGGTGTAACCCCCTGTTCATCAGTTGAGTTATGTGATTGGTGTAACCCCCTGTTCATCAGTTGAGTTATGTGATTGGTGTAACCCCCTGTTCATCAGTTGAGTTATGTGATTGGTGTAACCCCCTGTTCATCAGTTGAGTTGATATGTGATTGGTGTAACCCCCGTCCGTCACCAGAACTCCGTTAGGAAGAGGGCGGGCCTGGCTGCGATTGGCCCTGATGCAGAAGAAGCTGTCGGACTACATGAAGACCATCATCAACAGAAAGGATCTGCTCAGTGAGTTCTATGAGGCCAACGCTCTCATGATGGAGGAGGAAGGAGCCGTGATCGCCGGACTGCTGGTTGGGTTGAACGTCATCGATGCTAATCTCTGTATGAAGGGAGAAGACCTGGACTCACAGGTTAGTACCATAGAATATATATTTACAGTAGCCCCCAGAATGCATTTACAGTAGCCCCCAGTACGTATTTACAGTAGCCCCCAGTACGTATTTACAGTAGCCCCCAGAATGCATTTACAGTAGCCCCCAGTACGTATTTACAGTAGCCCCCAGTACGGGCCCCCAGTACGTATTTACAGTAGCCCCCAGAATGCATTTACAGTAGCCCCCAGTACGTATTTACAGTAGCCCCCAGTACGTATTTACAGTATCCCCCAGTACGCATTTACAGTAGCCTCCAGTACATATTCAATATTATACAGTACCCATATACAGTACAGTTGAGCGTTTAACCAGCTGGTATTTAAATAAAGTCTGTTTTCTGTCTGACACAATGTTTTCATTAGTGTAGCTCAGTGATTCTGTTATGTTCTTCAGATCAAGTCTCTGTCTGTTGTGATTCTGTTATGTTCTTCAGATCAAGTCTCTGTCTGTTGTGATTCTGTTATGTTCTTCAGATCAAGTCTCTGTCTGTTGTGATTCTGTTATGTTCTTCAGATCAAGTCTCTGTCTGTTGTGATTCTGTTATGTTCTTCAGATCAAGTCTCTGTCTGTTGTGATTCTGTTATGTTCTTCAGATCAAGTCTCTGTCTGTTGTGATTTTTGTTATGTTCCCTTTAGATCAAAATCTCTGTCTGTTGTGATTCTGTTATGTTCTTCAGATCAAGTCTCTGTCTGTTGTGATTCTGTTATGTTCTTCAGATCAAGTCTCTGTCTGTTGTGATTCTGTTATGCTCTTCAGATCAAGTCTCTGTCTGTTGTGATTCTGTAATGCTCTTCAGACCGGGAGTGGTCATACAAGTCTGTGTGTTGTATTTCCTGTGCAGGTCGGGGTGATAGATTTCTCCATGTATCTTAAGGATGGTCACAGCAGCAAGACAGCAGAAGGGTGCGTTCCTCCTTAATAACAATAGCCCTCCACCTTAATAACACTAGCCCCTTAATAACACTAGCCCTCACCTAAAACACTAGCCCACCTTAATAACACTTAGCCCTCCACCATAACATAGCCCTACCTAAAACTAGCCCCTCACCTTAATAACACTAGCCCTCCACCTTAATAACACTAGCCCCTCACCTTAATAACACTAGCCCTCACCTTAATAACACTAGCCCTCCACCTTAATAACACTAGCCCCTCACCTTAATAACACTAGCCCCTCACCTTAATAACACTAGCCCTCACCTTATACACTAGCCCCTCACCTTAATAACAACTAGCCCACCACCTTAATACACTAGCCCCTCACCTTAATAACACTAGCCCTCACCTTAATAAACTAGCCCTCACCTTAATAACACTAGCAGCCCTCACCTTAATAACACTAGCCCTCCACCTTAATAACACTAGCCCTCACCTTAATAACACTAGCCCTCCACCTTAATAACACTAGCCCTCCACCTTATAACACTAGCCCCTTAATAACACTAAGCCCTCACCTTAATAACACCTAGCCCTCACCTTATAACACTAGCCTCCACCTTAATAACACTAGCCCCTCACCTTAATAACACTAGCCCCACTCACGCCACCTTAAAAACACTAGCCCCTCACCTTAATAACACTAGCCCTCACCTTAATAACACTAGCCCTCCACCTTAATAACACTAGCCCCTCACCTTAATAACACTAGCCCCCCACCTTAATAACACTAGCCCTCACCTTAATAACACTAGCCCTCACCTTAATACACTAGCCTCTCACCTTAATAACACTAGCCCTCCACCTTAAAACACTAGCCCCTTAATAACACTAGCCCTCCACCTTAATAACCCCTAGACCCCCCCCCCCCCCCCCCCCCTTAAAAACACTAGCCCTCACCTAATACACAGCCCCTCACCTTTAAAAACACTAGCCCCTCACCTTAATAACACTAGCCCTCCACCTTAATAACACTAGCCCCTCACCTTAATACACTAGCCCCTCACCTTAATAACATAGCCTCTCACCTTAATAACACTGAGCCCTCCACCTTAATAACACTAGCCCTTTCCCCCTTAAAACACTAGCCCCTCACCTTTAAAAACACTAGCCCCTCACCTTAATAACACTACGCCCTCCACCTTAATAACACTAGTCCCCTCCACCTTAATAACCACTAGCCCCTCACCTTAATAACGCTAGCCCTCCACCTTAATAACACTAGCCCCTCACCTTAATAACGCTAGCCCTCCACCTTAATAACACTAGCCCCTCACCTTAATAACACTAGCCCCTTAATAACACTAGTCCCTCCACCTTAATAACACTAGCCCTCCACCTTAATAACACTAGTCCCTCCACCTTAATAACACTAGCCCCTCACCTTAATAACGCTAGCCCTCCACCTTAATAACACTAGCCCCTCACGTTAATAACACTAGCCCCTCACCTTAATAACACTAGCCCTCGCCTTAATAACACTAGCCCCTCACCTTAATAACACTAGCCCTACACCTTAATAACACTAGCCCCTCACCTTAATAACACTAGCCCCTTAATAACACTAGCCCCTTAACACTAGTCCCTCCACCTTAATAACACTAGCCCCTCACCTTAATAACACTAGCCCTCACCTTAATAACACTAGCCCCCACCTTAATAACACTAGCCCCTTAATAACACTAGCCCCTCACCTTAATAACACTAGCCCTCCACCTTAATAACACTAGTTCCCTCACCTTAATAACACTAGCCCCTTAATAACACTAGCCCCTTAATAACACTAGTCCCTCCACCTTAATAACACTAGCCCTCCACCTTAATAACACTAGTCCCTCCACCTTAATAACACTAGCCCCTCACCTTAATAACGCTAGCCCTCCACCTTAATAACACTAGCCCCTCACCTTAATAACGCTAGCCCTCCACCTTAATAACACTAGTCCCTCACCTTAATAACACTAGCCCCTTAATAACACTAATCCCTCCACCTTAATAACACTAGCCCTCCACCTTAATAACACTAGTCCCTCCACCTTAATAACACTAGCCCCTCACCTTAATAACGCTAGCCCTCCACCTTAATAACACTAGCCCCTCACCTTAATAACACTAGCCCCTCACCTTAATAACACTAGCCCTCACCTTAATAACACTAGCCCCTCACCTTAATAACACTAGCCCTCCACCTTAATAACACTAGCCCCTCACCTTAATAACACTAGCCCTCACCTTAATAACACTAGCCCCTTAATAACACTAGCCCCTTAATAACACTAGTCCCTCCACCTTAATAACACTAGCCCCTCACCTTAATAACACTAGCCCTCACCTTAATAACACTAGCCCCTTAATAACACTAGCCCCTCACCTTAATAACACTAGCCCTCACCTTAATAACACTAGCCCCTTAATAACACTAGCCCTCCACCTTAATAACACTAGTCCCTCCACCTTAATAACACTAGCCCTCCACCTTAATAACACTAGCCCTCCACCTTAATAACACTAGCCCTCCACCTTAATAACACTAGCCCCTCACCTTAATAACACTAGTCCCTCACCTTAATAACACTAGCCCTCCACCTTAATAACACTAGCCGCTTAATAACACTAGCCCTCCACCTTAATAACACTAGTCCCTCCACCTTAATAACACTAGTCCCTCCACCTTAATAACGCTAGCCCCTCACCTTAATAACACTAGCCCCTCACCTTAATAACACTAGCCCCCTCACCTTAATAACACTAGCCCTCCACCTTAATAACACTAGCCCTCCACCTTAATAACACTAGCCCCTCACCTTAATAACACTAGCCCCTCACCTTAATAACACTAGCCTCTCACCTTAATAACACTAGCCCCTCACCTTAATAACACTAGCCCCTCACCTTAATAACACTAGCCTCTCACCTTAATAACACTAGCCCCTCACCTTAATAACACTAGCCCTCCACCTTAATAACACTAGCCCTCCACCTTAATAACACTAGCCCTCCACCTTAATAACACTAGCCCTCCATCTTAATAACACTAGCCCTCCACCTTAATAACACTAGCCTCTCACCTAATAACACTAGACCCTCCAACCTTAATAACACTAGCCCCTCACCTTAATAACACTAGCCCCTCACCTAATAACACTAGCCCCTCACCTTAATAACACTAGCCCTCCCTCCACCTAGAAAACACTAGCCCCTCACCTTAATAACACTAGCCCCTCACCTTAATAACACTAGCCCTCCCACCTTAATAAACACTAGCCCTCCACCTTAATAACACTAGTCCCTCCACCTTAATAACACTAGCCCCTCACCTTAATAACACTAGCCCCTCACCTTAATAACACTAGCCCTCACCTTAATAACACTAGCCCCTCACCTTAATAACACTAGCCCCTCACCTTAATAACACTAGCCCCTCACCTTAATAACACTAGCCCTCCACCTTAATAACACTAGCCCCTTAATAACACTAGCCCCTTAATAACACTAGTCCCTCCACCTTAATAACACTAGCCCCTCACCTTAATAACACTAGCCCTCCTCCTTAATAACACTAGCCCTCCACCTTAAGAACACTAGCCGCTTAATAACACTAGCACCCCTCACCTTAATAAACACTAAGCCCCTCACCTTAATAAACACTAGCCCTCCACCTTAATAAACACTACCCCTCACCTTAATAACATAGCCCCTCACCTTGAATAACACTAGCCCCTTAATAACACAGCCCTCCACCTTAATAACACTAGCCCCTCACCTTAATAATACTAGCCCCTCACCTTAATAACACCTAGCCCTCCACCTTAATAACACTAGCCCTCCACCTTAAATAACACTAGCCCTCCACCGTAATAACCTAGCCCCTCACCTTAATAACACTATGCCCCTCACCTTTATAAAACTAGCCGCTTAATAACACTAGTCCTCACCTTAATAACACTAGCCCCTATAACACTAGCGCCCTCACCTTAATAACACAGCCGCTTAATAACACAGCCCTCCACCTTAATAACACTAGCCCTCCACCTTATAACACAGCCCCCTCCACCTTAATACACTAGCCCCTCACCTTAATAACACTAGCCCCTCCACCTTAATACACTAGCCCTCCACCTTAATAACACTAGCCCCTCACCCTTTAAAAACACTAGCCCCTCCACCTTAATAAACATAGCCCTCCACCTTAATAACACTAGCCCTCCCCTTTAATAACACTAGCCCTCCACCTTAATAACACTAGTCCCTACTTAATAACACTAGCCCCTTAAAACACACCTCCACCTTAATAACACTAGCCTCCCTAATAACACAGCCCCTTAATAACACTAGTCCCTCCACCTTAATAACACTAAACCCTCCACCTTAATAACACTAGCCCTCCACCTTAATAACACTAGCCCCTCACCTAATAACGCTGCCCTCCACCTAAAAACTGCCCCTCACGTTATAACACTAGCCCTCATTAATAACACTAGCCCTCACCTTAAATAACACTAGCCCCTCACCTTAATAACACTAGCCCTCCCCCTTAATAACACTAGCCCCCCACCTGAATACATAGCCCTCACCTTATAACACTAGCCCCTTAATAACACTAGCCCCTTAATAACACTAGTCCCTCCACCTTAAACACTAGCCCCTCACCTTAAAAAACACTAGCCCTCACCTTAATAACACTAGCCCCTTAAAACACTAGCCCCTCCCTTAATAACACTAGCCCTCCACCTTAAACACTATTCCCTCACCTTAAAACACTAGCCCCTTAATAACCACTAGCCCCTCACCTTAATAACACAGCCCTCCACCTTAAAACACTATTCCCTCACCTTAAAAACACTAGCCCTTAATAAAAACTAGCCCTCCACCTTAATAACACTAGTCCCTCCACCTTAAAACACTAGTCCCACCTTAAACGCTAGCCCCCACCTTAATAACACTAGTCCCTCACCTTAATAACACTAGCCCCTTAATAACAATAGCCCTCCACCTTAATAAACTAGCCCTCCCCCTTAATAACACTAGCCCTCCACCTTAATAAAACTAGCCCCTCACCTTAATAACGCTACCCTCCACCTTTAAAAACATAGCCTCACCTTAATAACACTAGCCCCTCACCTTAATAAAACTAGCCCTCACCTTAATAACACTAGCCCTCACCTTATAACACTAGCCCTCCACCTTAATAACACTAGCCCCTCACCTTAATAACACTAGCCCTCACCTTAAAACAACACTAGCCCCTTAATAACACTACGCCCCTTAATAACCCTAGTCCCTCCACCTTAATAACACTAGCCCCTCACCTTAATAACACTAGCCCTCACCTTAATAACACTAGCCCCTTAATAACACTAGCCCCTCACCTTAATAACACTAGCCCCTTAATAACACTAGTCCCTCCACCTTAATAACACTAGTCCCTCCACCTTAATAACACTAGTCCCCCACCTTAATAACACTAGCCCTCCACCTTAATAACACTAGCCCTCCACCTTAATAACACTAGCCCTCCACCTTAATAACACTAGCCCCTCACCTTAATAACACTAGCCCCTCCACCTTAATAACACTAGCCCCTCACCTTAATAACACTAGCCCCTCACCTTAATAACACTAGCCCCCACCTTAATAACACTAGCCGCTTAATAACACTAGCCCTCCACCTTAATAACACTAGCCCTCCACCTTAATAACACTAAGCCCTCCACCTTAATAACACTTGCCCTCCACCTTAATAACACTAGCCCCTCACCTTAATAACACTAGCCCTCCACCTTAATAACACTAGCCCCTCACCTTAATAACACTAGTCCCTCACCTTAATAAAAACTAGCCCTCCCCCTTAATAAAAATAGCCGCTTATAACACTAGCCTCACCTTAAACACTACCCCTCACCTTATAACACTAGCCCCTCACCTTAATAACACTAGCCCTCCCCCTTAATAACACTAGCCCCTCACCTTAATAACACTAGCCCCTCACCTTAATAACACTAGCCCCTTAATAACACTAGCCCTCCACCTTAATAACACTTAGCCCCTCACCTTAATAATACTAGCCCCTCACCTTAAAAACACTAGCCCTCCACTTAATAACACAGCCCTCCACCTTTAAAAACACTAGCCCTCCACCTTAATAACACTAGCCCCTCACCTTAATAACACTAGCCCCTCACCTTAATTAACACTAGCCCCTCACCTTAATAAACACTATCGTCCGCTTAATAACACTAGTCCTCACCTTAATAACACTAGCCCCTTAATAACACTAGCCCCTCACCTTAATAACACTAGCCGCTTAATAACACTAGCCCTCCACCTTAATAACACTAGCCCCTCCACCTTAATAACACTAGCCCTCCACCTTAATAACACTAGCCCCTCACCTTAATAACACTAGCCCCTCACCTTAATAACACTAGCCCCTCACCTTAATAACACTAGCCCCTCCACCTTAATAACACTAGTCCCTCCACCTTAATAACACTAGCCCTCCACCTTAATAACACTAGCCCCTCACCTTAATAACACTAGCCCCTCACCTTAATAACACTAGCCCTCTAATAACACTAGTCCTCACTTAATACACTAGCCCCTCACTTAATAACACTAGCCGCTTTAATAAACACTAGCCCTCCACCTAATAACACTAGCCCTCCACACTTAATAACACTAGCCCCCCTTCCCACCTTAATTAAACACTAGCCGCTTAATAACACTAGCCCCTCCACCTTAATAACACTAGCCCCTCACCTTAATAACACTAGCACGCTTAATACACTAGCCTCCACCTTAATAACACTAGCCCTCCACCTTAATAACACTAGCCCTCCGCCTTAATAACACTAGCCCCTCACCTTAATAACACTAGCCCCTCACCTTAATAAACACTAGCCCTCCACCTTAATAACACTAGTCCTCACCTTAATACACTAGCAGCCCTCCACCTTAATAACACTAGCCCCTAATAACACTAGCCCCTCACCTTAATAACACTAGCCCCTCCACCTTAATAACACTAGCCCCCCTCACCTTAATAACACTAGCCCCTACCTTAATAACACTAGCCCTCCACCTTAATACACACTAGCCCCTCACCTTAATAACATAGCCCTCCACCTTAATAACACTAGCCCCTCACCTTAATAACACTAGCCCCTTAATAACACTAGCCCCTCACCTTAATAACACTAGCCCCTTAATAACACTAGCCCTCCACCTTAATAACACTAGCCCTCCACCTTAGGGCGGCAGGTAGCTTAGTGGTTAAGAGCGTTGTGCCATTAACCGAAAGGTCGCTGGTTCTAATCCCCGAGCCGACTAGGTGAAAAATCTGTCGATGTGCCCTTGAGCAAGGCACTTAACCCTAATTGCTCCTGTAAGTCGCTCTGGATAAGAGCGTCTGCTAAATGACCAATTATTTATTTATTTATTATTATTTTAATAACACTAGCCCTCCACCTTAATAACACTTCTCCCCCCCCCCCCCCAGGGATGGCCAGATAACAGCCATCCTGGACCAGAAGAACTATGTTGAGGAGCTGAACAGACACCTGAGTGCTTCAGTCACCAACCTGCAGGCCAGAGTAGACGCTATGGAGAAGTCCAACACCAAGCTCACTGAAGAGGTATGTTATTTTACCACAGTTTGATTTAACATGCGTTCTACAACTGGGTTGTGTTTTCTAGAAGTTAATAGAACATGTTCTGGATTGGTGTGTGTTGTCTGTAATGTTTTAATGTCAAGTGAAGTGCCTTTCTTACAAGCTCTAAACCCAACAATGCATTAATCAGTAGCTTAGGTTGTCTGAAAGTACAGTGGGGAAAAAAAGTATTTAGTCAGCCACCAATTGTGCAAGTTCTCCCACTTAAAAAGATGAGAGAGGTCTGTAATTTTCATCATAGGTACACGTCAACTATGACTGACAAAATGAGAGAAAAAAATTACAGAAAATCACATTGTAGGATTTTTTATGAATTTATTTGCAAATTATGGTGGAAAATAAGTATTTGGTCAATAACAAAAGTTTCTCAATACTTTGTTATATACCCTTTGTTGGCAATGACACAGGTCAAACGTTTTCTGTAAGTCTTCACAAGGTTTCACACACTGTTGCTGGTATTTTGGCCCATTCCTCCATGCAGATCTCCTCTAGAGCAGTGATGTTTTGGGGCTGTCGCTGGGCAACACAGACTTTCAACTCCCTCCAAAGATTTTCTATGGGGTTGAGATCTGGAGACTGGCTAGGCCACTCCAGGACCTTGAAATGCTTCTTACGAAGCCACTCCTTCGTTGCCCGGGCGGTGTGTTTGGGATCATTGTCATGCTGAAAGACCCAGCCACGTTTCATCTTCAATGCCCTTGCTGATGGAAGGAGGTTTTCACTCAAAATCTCACGATACATGGCCCCATTCATTCTTTCCTTTACACGGATCAGTCGTCCTGGTCCCTTTGCAGAAAAACAGCCCCAAAGCATGATGTTTCCACCCCCATGCTTCACAGTAGGTATGGTGTTCTTTGGATGCAACTCAGCATTCTTTGTCCTCCAAACACGACGAGTTGAGTTTTTACCAAAAAGTTCTATTTTGGTTTCATCTGACCATATGACATTCTCCCAATCCTCTTCTGGATCATCCAAATGCACTCTAGCAAACTTCAGACGGGCCTGGACATATACTGGCTTAAGCAGGGGGACACGTCTTGGACTGCAGGATTTGAGTCCCTGGCGGCGTAGTGTGTTACTGATGGTAGGCTTTGTTACTTTGGTCCCAGCTCTCTGCAGGTCATTCACTAGGTCCCCGCGTGTGGTTCTGGGATTTTTGCTCACCGTTCTTGTGATCATTTTGACCCCACGGGGTGAGATCTTGCGTGGAGCTCCAGATCGAGGGAGATTATCAGTGGTCTTGTATGTCTTCCATTTCCTAATAATTGCTCCCACAGTTGATTTCTTCAAACCAAGCTGCTTACCTATTGCAGATTCAGTCTTCCCAGCCTGGTGCAGGTCTACAATTTTGTTTCTGGTGTCTTTTGACAGCTCTTTGGTCTTGGCCATAGTGGAGTTTGGAGTGTGACCGTTTGAGGTTGTGGACAGGTGTCTTTTATACTGATAACAAGTTCAAACAGGTGCCATTAATACAGGTAACGAGTGGAGGACAGAGGAGCCTCTTAAAGAATAAGTTACAAGTCTGTGAGAGCCAGAAATCTTGCTTGTTTGTAGGTGACCAAATACTTATTTTCCACCATAATTTGCTAATAAATTCATTACAAATCCTACAATGTGATTTTCTGGATTTTTTTTCCTCAATTTGTCTGTCATAGTTGACGTGTACCTATGATGAAAATTACAGGCCTCTCTCATCTTTTTAAGTGGGAGAACTTGCACAGTTGGTGGCTGACTAAATACTTTTTTTCTCCACTGTACATCTGATATTTCTCCACTGGTGTGGAACATATTACAGGTTTCTCTTGCGAATTAGATTTTTATCTCAATGAGTCAAACCAGTGTAAATAAAGGTTGATTACACTCTGCCCTGGTGTGTTGTCTGTCTAGCTTGCAGTCGCCAACAACAGGATCATCACCCTGCAAGAGGATGTAGAACGAGTCAAAGAGGAGAGCTCCTACCAGATAGAGTCAAGTCGCAAGGTAAAACAGACTAACACTGTTCATCTGAAGTAATGATGATGTGCTACTTCTTTATAAAGCTTCATTACTGTGATATGTAGGGTGTAATAAGACGACAGCTCTGAGGCCGTGTCTAGACTTCACAGTTAATGCAGAGTTCTGATCATGGAGTTCTGATCATGAAGTTCTGATCATGGAGTTCTGATCATGGAGTTCCAAACACATCATACGTCTACACCTACGTCCACATTTTGTCCAGATTTCCATTTCAGTCCCTTTCTGCAGGCAAAATCTGAACACGTTAGTTAACACAAGTTAACGGCAGTAGCGAACTACTGTAGCTAGCCAGCGAACTACAGCAGCTAGCCAGCGAACTACAGCAGCTAGCCAGCGAACTACTGCAGCTAGCCAGCGAACTACAGCAGCTAGCCAGCTAACTACAGCAGCTAGCCAGCTAACTACAGCAGCTAGCCAGCTAACTACAGCAGCTAGCCAGCGAACTACAGCAGCCAGCCAGCGAACTACAGCAGCCAGCCAGCGAACTACAGCAGCCAGCCAGCGAACTACAGCAGCCAGCCAGCGAACTACAGCAGCCAGCCAGCGAACTACAGCAACTAGCCAGCGAACTACAGCAGCTAGCCAGCTAACTACAGCAGCTAGCCAGCTAACTACAGCAGCTAGCCAGCGAACTACAGCAGCTAGCCAGCGAACTACAGCAGCTAGCCAGCGAACTACAGCAGCTAGCCAGCGAACTACAGCAGCCAGCCAGCTAACTACAGCAGCCAGCCAGCTAACTACAGCAGCTAGCCAGCGAACTACAGCAGCTAGCCAGCGAACTACAGCAGCTAGCCAGCGAACTACAGCAGCTAGCCAGCGAACTACAGCAGCTAGCCAGCGAACTACAGCAGCTAGCCAGCGAACTACAACAGCCAGCCAGCGAACTACAGCAGCCAGCCAGCGAACTACAGCAGCCAGCCAGCGAACTACAGCAGCTAGCCTGCGAACTACAGCTGGTGCACGATATCTAAGGAAGTCTCGAGGTTTTGCTCGCCTGAGGTAGAGTATCTCAGGATAAGCTGTAGGCCACACTATCTACCAAGAGAGTTTTCATCTAAACTCAGCAAAAAAAGAAACGTCCCTTTTTCAGGACCCTGTCTTTCAAAGATAATTTGCGTGAACGTGCCTTAGGCATGCTGCAAGGAGGCTTGAGAACTGCAGATGTGGCCAGGGCAATAAATTGCATTGTCCGTACTGTGAGACACCTAAGACAGCGCTACAGGGAGACAGGACGGACAGCTGATCGTCCTCGCAATGGCAGACCACGTGTAACAACACCTGCACAGCATCGGTACATCCGAACATCACACCTGCGGGACAGGTACAGGATGGCAACAACAACTGCCCGAGTTACACCAGGAACGCACAATCCCTCCATCAGTGCTCAAACTGTCCGCAATAGGCTGAGAGAGGCTGGACTGAGGGATTGTAGGCCTGTTGTAAGGCAGGTCCTCTTGATAAAGAAGGAGAGTCTCACTATCGCCACTAATGACAAACACTGCGGGTCACTAGTTTATATAGTGTCAAAGGACACACGCAGGTGTCTGTAATCAGCTTCTACCCCCAAGCCATAAGACTCCTGAACATCTAATCAAATGGCTACCCAGACTATTTGCATTGCCCCCCCCCTCCCCCCCCCCCCCCCCCCCCCCCACCCTCTTTTTTCGCTGCTGCTACTTGGTTTTTATCTAGCATAGCACTTTTAACCCACCCACATGTACATAACCCAATTACCCGACTAGCGGTGCCCCCGCACATTTCTCTGTACCGGGACCCCCTGTATATAGCCCCCCCCTACTGTATTTCACATGACCCCTGTACCGGTACCCCCTTGTATTTAAACCTCCTATGTTATTTCCCATTGAAACCTGTACCAGGTTACCCCCCTGGAAATTTTGGCCCCGGTTTCTGTTATTTTTCCCTTGACTTGTACCGGACCCCCTGTATTAGCCTCCCTCTGTTTTTTTTCCCACCTTCTGTACCGGGGACCCCCGATATAGCCCCACTGTTTTTTTCCCCTTGACTCTGACCCGGGACCCCCTTTTATAGCCTCCCTACGGTTATTTACTTGACTCTGTTTCCGGACCCCCTGTATATAGCCCCCCCAGTTATTTCCCAAACTTTAGGCCCCCGTTTAAACCCCGTTTTTTTCCAATTGTCCCCCTTTTTAGCCCCCTACTGTATTACAATGACTCTGTACCCGGTACCCCCCGTATAACCTCCTACTTTTTTACACATGATCGACCGGTACCCCCCTTGTATATAGCCCCTGTACCCGGGACCCCCGTAATAGATTGTCCGGGGCCAGAATAGCCTTGTACCGGTACCCCCTGAATAGCCCTGTACGGGACCCCCTGTTTAGCCCCTGTACCCGGGAACCCCCCGTATTAGGTCTTACCGGTACCCCTTTATAGACTCGACGGACCCCCCGGGAATAGCCTCTGACCGGTACCCCTGTATATAGCCTTGTACCCTACCCCGTATATAGCCTCTGACCGGTACCCGTAAAGCCTCTGTACCCCGGGACCCCCTGTAATAGCCCTTTTACCGGTACCCATTATATAGCCTCCCTAGTTATTAACATTGACTTGTACCGGTACCCCTGTATATGCCCCGTACCCCGGGACCCCTGTATATAGCCTCTGTTCGGGACCCCCCTTTTAGATCTGTACGTACCCCCCTTTTATATAGCCTCTGTACCGGTACCCAGATTCCTCTGTCCGGTACCCCCTGTATATGCCTCTGTACTGGACCCCCGTATTAAACCCCGAAAGGGACCCCCCGTATTTAAACCTCCTACTTTTTTACAAATTGACTCGTACCCGGGACCCCTGTATTTTAGCCTCCCTACTGTTTTTCACATTGACTTGTACCGTACCCCGATAAGCCTCCCTACTTTTAAATTTACTTGTTTCCGGTCCCCCCTTTTAAAAGCCTCTGACCGTACCCCCTGTATATTTATCTGTACCGGGGACCCCTGTATATAGCTCGTACCGGTACCCACTGTATAAGCCTTTACCCGGTTTCCCCCGTAATAGCCTCCCCACTGTTTTACCATTGACTCTGTACCGGGACCCCTTTTTATATAGCCTCCCCCCTGTATTTCCCCTTGACCTGTACCCCGGGACCCCCCTATATAGCCCCCTCTGTTATTACACATTTACTCTGTCCGGTACCCCCTGTTATAGCCCCCCAGTTATTTCCCTGACTCTGTACGGTACCCCTGATATAGCCTCCCTATGTATTTCCCATTACTCTTGTACCGGGGTACCCCCCCGTAATTTGCCTCCCTTTCGGGAATTAAAGCCCCCGTACCGGTACCCCCTGATAACCCCTGTACCGGTACCCCCTGTAATTGACTTTTACGGTACCCCCGTATATAGCCTCCCTACTGTTTTTAAAGCTCTGTACCGGTACCCCCCGTATATAGCCCCCCTTTTTTTCCATTGACTCGTACCGTACCCCCCCCCCCTATATAGCCCCCTATGTTTTTAAATTAATCTTACCGGGGACCCCCCGTATATACCTTTCCTACCCCCGTTTTTCTTTGTGAGGTTTCCCCCTTTTTTAAGCCTCTACGGTACCCAATGAATCCCTTTTACCGGTACCCCCTGTATTAGCCTCCCTACTGTTATTCCATTGACTCTGTACCGGTCCCCTGTATATAGCCTCCCCATGTTTTTCCCATTTACTGTACCGGTACCCCCTGTATATAGCTCCCCGTATTTCCTTATCTGACGGTACCCCCTGTTTTTATCGACCTTACCCTTTCGGTACCCCCTGTAATAGCCCCCCTGTTTTACCATTATCTGTACCGTACCCCTGTAATAGCCTCCCCTTTTAACCCAATTGATCTGTACCGGTACCCCTTGTATATAGCCCGTACCGGTACCCCTGTATATGCTCTGTCCGGTACCCCCCGTATAAGGCCCCGTACCGGTACCCCCGTAATAGCCCCTGTACGGACCCCCTTTTATATAGGACTGTTTTTTTCCCCGACCCCTTTAACCCCCTTTTTTCCTCCCATGTTTACCTTTTTTTGTAGGTACCCCCTGTATATAGCCTCCCCTTTTTGTTACCCATTACTTGTCCCGGTACCCCTTTTTATATGCCCCCTGTTTTTCCGGTTACCCCCGTAATAGCCTCCCTACGTATTTATACCCCGTACGGTCCCCCTTATATAGCCTCCCTTTCGTATTTCCCTTGCTCTGTACCCGGTACCCCCCTTTTATAGCCTTGTACCGGACCCCGTTAAAAGCCTCGTACCGGTACCCCCGGATATCCCCCCTTTTTACCGGTTTCCCCTGTTTTAGCCTTTGTACCCGGGAACCCCCCGTATATAGCCTTGTACGGTACCCCCTGTAATGCTCTGTACCGGTACCCTGTATATGCCTCGTACGGTACCCCCCTTTGGGGAATAGTCGTACGGTACCCCTTGATATTACTCTTCCGGTACCCCCCGTTTTATACCCTTACCCGGGACCCCCTGATTAGCTCTGTACCGGGACCCCTGTATATAGCCCTTTTACCGGTACCCCCTGTATTTTAGCCTCTGTAACGGTAACCCCTGTAATAGCCTCGTACCCGGGACCCCCGTATATAGCCTTGTACCCCGGTACCCCCTGTAAAGCCTCTGTACCGGACCCCCTGTATATTGCCCCTGGGTTTTCCCCGGTTACCCCCCTTTTTTAAGCCTTTTTGTACCCCGGGACCCCCTGTATTAAATCTGTCCGGGACCCCTGATTTTTAGCCCGTACGGTACCCCCCCCGTATAAAGCCTCTGTCGGTTTCCCCCTGTTTAGCCTCTGTACCCGGGAACCCCCGTATAAGCCTCTGACCCGGGACCCCCGTAATAGCCTTTTTGGACCGGGAACCCCCCTATATAGCCTCCGTACCCGGACCCCCTGTATATGCTCTGTTTCCGGGACCCACGTAATGCCTCGTACCGGTACCCCCCCGTATTAACGGTAACCCCCGTATATGCCTCTGTACCGGGGACCCCTGTATATACCCGGGTACCCCCGTATATAGCTCGTACCGGTACCCCTGTTTATTCCCGGGACCCCCCGATATCCCGGTACCCCTGTATTACCTGTACCCCCTGTATAAGCCCCTTTTACCCGGTACCCCCCCCTTTTAATATTTTCCGGACCCCCCCTTTTAAAGCTCGTACCGGTACCCCATTGTATTACCCGGGACCCCCTGTATATAACGGTACCCCCCTGTATATACCCCCGGTTCCCCCCCGTTTTGTTTACGGTTAACCCCCGATAAGCCCCTTCGGTACCCCCTGTTAATTTACCCCGGTACCCCCCGGGATTTTTTACCGGTACCCCCGTATAAACCCCCGGTACCCCTGTAATAGCCTCTGTACCCCGGGACCCCCGTATAACCCGGACCCCCCCGGATATACCCCCGGACCCCTGTAATACCCGGTACCCCTGTATTACCCGGATACCCCCTTTATATACCCGGGACCCCCCGTATATACCCGGTACCCCGTATTACCCGGTACCCCCCTTTTTTATATACCCCAGGTACCCCGTATATACCCGGTACCCCCCCGATATTTTTTACCGGTTTTCCCCCGTTTTTACCCCCCGGACCCCCCCCGTTATACCCCGTACCCCCTTTTTTATAAACGGGACCCCCTGTAATACCGGTACCCCCCCTGTTTTAACCCGTACCCCCCCGGGAATTTTCCCGGTAAAACCCCCGTATATACCGGTACCCCCTGTAATTTCCGGTACCCCCGTATATAAACCCCCGGACCCCCTGTATATAAACCCGGGTACCCCCTTAATAACCCCGGTACCCCTTTTTATAACCCTTACCCCCGTTTTACCCGGTACCCCCTGTAATACCCCGGGACCCCTGTTATTTCCGGTCCCCCCTGTATACCCGGTACCCCCTGGATATACCCGGTACCCCCTGTATATACCCGGTACCCCTGTATATAGCCGGTACCCCCTGTATATAGCCGGTACCCCCTGTATATACCCGGTACCCCCTGTATATACCCGGTACCCCCGTAATTTCCCGGTACCCCCCTTTAAAAAACCCGGGGACCCCCGTAAACCGGTACCCCTTTTATAACCGGTACCCCCTTTTTATATACCCGGGACCCCCTGTTATACCCGGTTTCCCCTGTATATACCCGGACCCCCTGTATATACCGGTACCCCCTTATATACCCGGGGGACCCCTGTAATACCCGGGACCCCCTGTATTACCCCCAAAACCCCCCCCCCCCCCCCCCCGTTATACCCCGGTACCCCCCCTTTCGGACCCCCTTATATTACCCGGTACCCCCCGTTATACCCCGGTACCCTGTAATACCCGGACCCCCTGAATACCCGGTACCCCCCCGATTAACCCGGACCCCTTTTTATTTCCCCCCCCCGAATCCCTCCCCCTTTTTCCCGGTACCCCCGTATATACCCGGTACCCCTGTATATACCCGGTACCCCCCCGTATATACCCCCCCCCGGTAACCCCGGACCCTGTATACCCGGTTTCCCCCGTTTGGGGGGACCCCGGTTAAACCGGTTTCCCCCCGAAAAACCCCCCGGTCCCCCTGTATAAAGGTCCCTTATTTTACCCCCCCTTTAAAACCCCCCCCCGTATTTTCCCCCCCCCCCCTTTTATTAAAGTTTTTTTGGTTTTTTTGGGGAATTTTTTAAAAATTATGGGTAAGGTTTGCCCCTACCCCCTTTCACCCCGAAAACCACCCTGTTTATCGGACCCCCCTAATACCCTTCCCCTTTTTTATAACCCAAAACCCCCTAATTAGGGTCCCCTTTTATAACCGGTATTTATAAAGGGACCCCCGTTTTTTGGGTTCCCCCAATTTTAAACCCCCCGGGTTTGTTTACTTTTCCCCCCTTATAAACCCCGGGAATTAATGGTTTTGTAAAGGGTACCCCCGTTTAACCCCCTTTTTATTTTGGGCTTTATTATTACTTTTTTGCCTATTTTAAAATTTTTTTTTTTGGGTTGTAAAAATTCCCGGGGTTTCCCCCTTGAAGAATTTAAATTAACCGTCAAAAAAAAAAAGATTTTTTTTCAAATTTTAAAGGTTTTTTTTTTTGGAAAATTACAGGTTTGGGGCCCTTTACAATTTTTAAGGTGTTTTAAAGGTACCGGTGAAAATTTTTTTAAAATTTCAAACAACAGGGGAAAATTTATTGGGGCCCCCTTCCCAACCTAGTTTTTAAAGGGATTGAAAGGGCGGTTTACCAACTAACGGGCTTTTAAAACCCCGGTGGCTCTTAGGCCTCTTCCCCCTTCCCTTTTAAGGCCAAGTTTTAAGGGGGCTTTTCTTTCACGGTGCCCCAAAATGGGGGCACAAAAAAAACCCAAGAAAGGAAAGGGCCGTGGAGGGGGAAAAAACCGCCAAAACCCCCTACCTGCCCTTTTTTAAAGGGGAACCGGGCCCCCAAAAAGGGGAAAAGGGTTCAAACCACCTGTCAGTTTGGGGCCCCGGTCAAAACAACTCAAAGAAAGGGTTTTGGTTGAGGGATTTTAACCCCCCCCCACCCAAAAAAAACGGGGGCCCGCATTTGGGCAAAACCCCCACCCCCCTTTGGTCTTTTAAGTTTTTTTTTGGGGATCCCTCCAAAGGAAAAGAGGGAGACCTGGAGAACTTTCTCCGGGGCCAACATTGCAAAGGGTTTGCGGTGGGGAAAACAAGGGTTGGGGGGGCCCCCAAAATTTTGGGGGGGGCCCCAAGGGGCCCTATGGCCGCCAAAGGGGCCTGCTTTCCATTAAAAAGGGCACTGAGACCCTGAAAGGGGTTGGCCCTGGGTTCTCTCTGCAAAAAAACTGACCCCTTGGCGGGGGGCCCCCGTTCTAAAGGGGGGGCCGGGCCCCGCCCCCCCAGGACCACCCCTAACCTTTGGCCCCAAAACTGGCCCCGGCTCCACAAAAAACGCCAGGGGGGCCACCCAGAACTTTTTTCCAGGCTGGGAGGGAGAAACCCTCGGGCCCCCGGCCCCTCCCAAGATGCCCGGGGTTTGGGGGTTAAGCGGGGGGGCCCCCCCCCCCCTTTTGGGGCCCCCCCGGCCGGGTTTTTTTTGGGGGCATTACATCAAAGTTGGATCAGCCTGTAGTGTGGTTTTCCACTTTAATTTTGAGGGTGACTCCAAATCCAGCCCTCCATGGGTTGATAAATTTTATTTCCATTGATAATTTTTGTGTGATTTTGTTGTCAGCACATTCAACTATGTAAAGAAAAAAGTATTTAATAAGATTATTTCATTCATTCAGATCTAGGATGTGTTATTTTAGTGTTCCCTTTATTTTTTTGAGCAGTGTATATTAGCTAGCTGACTAGCATTTGAGGCAAACAAACACGTTCCTCACACGCTAGGAACGTATTTCATCCAACGTCATAATGAAAAGGTGCCTCTCGCTCCCAAAACACAAGTTTTCTGGAGACTTGAGGGCGGAGTGCTGATGATGTCACCCACTGAATGTGTATTCGGTAGCCTGATTTGCATCCATACCGAGGAGAAATCCACACACAATGCGACCATGACCACGTCCTGAACAGTCAGACCACAAGGCGACCATGACCACGTCCTGAACAGTCAGACCACAAGGCGACCATGACCACGTCCTGAACAGTCAGACCACAATGCGACCATGACCACGTCCTGAACAGTCAGACCACAAGGCGACCATGACCACGTCCTGAACAGTCAGACCACAAGGCGACCATGACCACGTCCTGAACAGTCAGACCACAAGGCGACCATGACCACGTCCTGAACAGTCAGACCACAAGGCGACCATGACCACGTCCTGAACAGTCAGACCACAAGGCGACCATGACCACGTCCTGAACACAGTCAGACCACAAGGCGACCATGACCACGTCTAGACCCGTCTTTTCAATGTGATCTTCATATTCTGATAGCAGAAATCACATGTGGATGTCAAGTGTAGGGTGTAATAATGATGACGTCCCCCCCCAGGAGTCGTGGGCAGGGAACGGCTCGGCAGGTCCCCCCCAGGCGCCGTGGGCAGGGAACGGCTCGGCAGATGGACAGGTGTTGGGGAAGGCACGCAAACAGCTCAAGGAAGAAACTCAGCTACGATTGGTCAGTTTCTCTCTCCCTTGATCTCTGAATAATATAATATTCCCTCCATCCTGGATTAACCCCTCCCTCTATTAACCCCTCCCTCCCTCCCTCCCTCATCTCTCCATCCCTCCCTCCCTCCATCCCTCCTGTATCCTCTCTCCCTCCCTCCCCCCTCCATCCTGTATTAACCCATCCATCCATCCATCCATCCTGTATTAACCCATCCATCCATCCATCCATCCTGTATTAACCCATCCATCCATCCATCCTGTATTAACCCATCCATCCATCCATCCTGTATTAACCCATCCATCCATCCTGTATTAACCCATCCATCCATCCATCCTGTATTAACCCATCCATCCATCCATCCTGTATTAACCCATCCATCCATCCATCCTGTATTAACCCATCCATCCATCCATCCATCCTGTATTAACCCATCCATCCATCCTGTATTAACCCATCCATCCTGTATTAACCCATCCATCCATCCTGTATTAACCCATCCATCCATCCTGTATTAACCCATCCATCCATCCTGTATTAACCCATCCATCCTGTATTAACCCATCCATCCTGTATTAACCCATCCATCCTGTATTAACCCATCCATCCTGTATTAACCCATCCATCCTGTATTAACCCATCCATCCATCCTGTATTAACCCATCCATCCATCCTGTATTAACCCATCCATCCTGTATTAACCCATCCATCCATCCCTGTATTAACCCATCCATCCATCCATCCTGTATTAACCCATCCATCCATCCATCCTGTATTAACCCATCCATCCATCCATCCTGTATTAACCCATCCATCCATCCATCCTGTATTAACCCATCCATCCATCCTGTATTAACCCATCCATCCATCCATCCATCCTGTATTAACCCATCCATCCATCCATCCATCCTGTATTAACCCATCCATCCATCCTGTATTAACCCATCCATCCATCCATCCTGTATTAACCCATCCATCCATCCATCCATCCTGTATTAACCCATCCATCCATCCATCCTGTATTAACCCATCCATCCATCCATCCTGTATTAACCCATCCATCCATCCATCCTGTATTAACCCATCCATCCATCCATCCTGTATTAACCCATCCATCCATCCATCCTGTATTAACCCATCCATCCATCCGTCCATCCATCCTGTATTAACCCATCCATCCATCCTGTATTAACCCATCCATCCATCCTGTATTAACCCATCCATCCATCCTGTATTAACCCATCCATCCATCCTGTATTAACCCATCCATCCTGTATTAACCCATCCATCCTGTATTAACCCATCCATCCTGTATTAACCCATCCATCCTGTATTAACCCATCCATCCTGTATTAACCCATCCATCCATCCTGTATTAACCCATCCATCCTGTATTAACCCATCCCTGTTTCTCTCTCTCCCCCTCCAGGATGTAGAGAAGGAGTTGGAGGTTCAGATTGGGATGAAGCAGGAGATGGAGCTGTCTATGAAGATGTTAGAGAAGGACATGTGTGAGAAACAGGATGCTCTGGTGGAGCTGCGACAACAGCTGGAAGACCTCAAGGCCCTTAACCAGCAGCTAGCACACAAGTCGCAGGTAGATACTGACCCAGGAACTGTCCCTGTATATAGCTACTGACCCTGGAACTGTCCCTGTATATAGCTACTGACCCTGGAACTGTATATAGCTACTGACCCTGGAACTGACCCTGTATATAGCTACTGACCCTGGAACTGTCCCTGTATATAGCTACTGACCCTGTATATAGCTACTGACCCTGGAACTGTCCCTGTATATAGCTACTGACCCTGGAACTGACCCTGTATATAGCTACTGACCCTGTAACTGTCCCTGTATATAGCTACTGACCCTGGAACTGTCCCTGTATATAGCTACTGACCCTGGAACTGTCCCTGTATATAGCTACTGACCCTGGAACTGACCCTGTATATAGCTACTGACCCTGGAACTGTCCCTGTATATAGCTACTGACCCTGTATATAACTGACTTACTTTCTCCTGTTTCTGGTGTGTTTTTTTGTTCTACTTGACTTTAGTGTATAGTACTACTGATATTAGTACTACTGATATTAGTACTACTGATATTAGTACTACTGATATTAGTACTATGATATTAGTACTACTGATATTAGTACTACTGATATTAGTACTACTGATATTAGTACTACTGATATTAGTACTACTGATATTAATACTACTGATATTAGTACTACTGATATTAGTACTACTGATTACTGCATTGTTTGAAAAGAGCGAGCAAGAAAGGCATTTCACTCTACTAGTGCACATGACAATAAAAACTTCAACTTGAAACACACGTGCGCACCCACACACACACACACACACACACACACACACACACACACACACACACACACACACACACACAGCTAAAGAGCCTTGGTTTGATATGTGTCGACAGAGCTTGGAGGCCGGCGCCAAGCAGAAGAGTGAGGTCATCAGTCGCCTGGAGGAGAAGATGAATCAGATGGCTGGAACTATAAAACACCTGGAGAGCAGGTAGGAACTATAACACCTGGAGAGCAGGTAGGAACTATAAAACACCTGGAGAGCAGGTAGGAACTATAAAACACCTGGAGAGCAGGTAGGAACTATAACACCTGGAGAGCAGGTAGGAACTATAACACCTGGAGAGCAGGTAGGAACTATAAACCACCTGGAGAGCAGGTAGGAACTATAAAACACCTGGAGAGCAGGTAGGAACTATAAAACACCTGGAGAGCAGGTAGGAACTATAAAACACCTGGAGAGCAGGTAGGAACTATAAAACACCTGGAGAGCAGGTAGGAACTATAACACCTGGAGAGCAGGTAGGAACTATAAAACACCTGGAGAGCAGGTAGGAACTATAAAACACCTGGAGAGCAGGTAGGAACTATAACACCTGGAGAGCAGGTAGGAACTATAAAACACCTGGAGAGCAGGTAGGAACTATAAAACACCTGGAGAGCAGGTAGGAACTAGAACACCTGGAGAGCAGGTAGGAACTATAAAACACCTGGAGAGCAGGTAGGAACTATAAAACACCTGGAGAGCAGGTAGGAACTATAAAACACCTGGAGAGCAGGTAGGAACTATAAAACACCTGGAGAGCAGGTAGGAACTATAAAACACCTGGAGAGCAGGTAGGAACTATAACACCTGGAGAGCAGGTAGGAACTACAAAACACCTGGAGAGCAGGTAGGAACTATAAACCACCTGGAGAGCAGGTCTGAGGCAACTTCTGGTCATTGTGGCTAGCGATCTGGTCATTCAGAATCACAAGCCACAGACCAATGTGTTTAACTATCAGATCAATATGTTTAACTATCAGATCAATATGTTTAACTATCAGATCAATGTGTTTAACTATCAGATCAATGTGTTTAACTATCAGATCAATGTGTTTAACTATCAGATCAATAGCAGATCAATATGTTTAACTATCAGATCAATATCAGATCAATATGTTTAACTATCAGACCAATGTGTTTAACTATCAGATCAATATCAGATCAATGTGTTTAACTATCAGATCAATATCAGATCAATATGTTTTAACTATCAGATCAATATGTTTTAACTATCAGATCAATATCAGATCAATATGTTTTAACTATCAGATCAATATCAGATCAATGTGTTTAACTATCAGATCAATATCAGATCAATATGTTTTAACTATCAGATCAATATCAGATCAATATGTTTTAACTATCAGATCAATATCAGATCAATATGTTTAACTATCAGATCAATATGTTTAACTATCAGATCAATATGTTTAACTATCAGATCAATATCAGATCAATATGTTTAACTATCAGATCAATATCAGATCAATATGTTTAACTATCAGATCAATATCAGATCAATATGTTTAACTATCAGATCAATATCAGATCAATATGTTTAACTATCAGATCAATATCAGATCAATATGTTTAACTATCAGATCAATATGTTTAACTATCTGTCTTCCTCTTTTATCTCTCCATTTTTTCATTCCTTTCATTCCTTGGTTCTCTTCCTCCTCTTCCTCCTCTTCCTCCACTCAGTGAGGAAGACTGTGTGAAGCAGGCCAGAAGCTTGAGTTCCAACGCAGAGCAGCTGTTTCAGAAGCAGCTATAGGACTCTCCTGTATTCCCCTTTGCTCTTCCACGTCATAGTTTCAGAAATCTGATTCCCAATCCAATCAGAAAACCAACCTTTGCATAATATAGAAATGACTAAACTAGGGTGTTTATTTTCTGGTATGATATATGTTGCGGTTAAAACTTTCATTTCTGACTGTTAAACAATCTTTTGTTTCCTAAACCTGATCTCTTCTGAAACAGCTTTCCCAACCGCATTACTTTGATTAGCAGCATGGACTGAGACAGTCTCTCTCTGGCGCCCTCTAGCCGATCTGTCTGTTGCTCTGCTTGTCTCTCTCTGGCGCCCTCTAGCCGATCTGTCTGTTGCTCTGCTTGTACTGCAGGGTGTCTCCACTCTAAATAATATTAATAAAGATATCAGACCCCCAGATGTAATGAATGTTCACTGATAAGAGGTTTGGGGTTTGAGACAGTGACCGTAGAGCAGCCCAAAGCTACGTACAGCCTATGTCCTTAGACCTGCCCTACAGAGACAGGTGCTTAACCAGCCACTGAGCAGCCCTTTCTCTCACCCCATGGTTAATAAAGCTCTGGGCTCCTGCAACATTAAGTGATAATGCCCTCGAAGCTGGTGTTTGGAGGACATATTGGCATGGGTGTTGTTAGGACCGAGGCGAGAAGGCAAAACATGCCAATATATCCTCCAAACACCGTCTTTGTGGGAATTATCACTTTCATACAACGGGTTACAAACATATTCAAATAATGATTGACATTTTCATTAGGTTTATTTTGATTAATTTATTCATACTATTTCATCATTCCACAAGAATTTCTGACACAAATCTAGGGTTGCTACCCAAGCCGGCTGGTCGTTCGTTCTATCAGTTCGGTTGCCAGAGACGCGACCCAGTCGTTCAGTCTTTTTGTTCTGTATCTATGGATGCGACCCAGTCGTTCAGTCTTTTTGTTCTGTATCTATGGACGCGACCCAGTCGTTCGTTCTAAATGTTACATTGCCATACTGGTTGGCAACGTTCTTATCCCTTGCTTGCTAGCTAGCCAACTACGGATAACTCACAGTCACATCAAACAGTGCAGCCAGAATAACTGAAGCTGGAAAGACTACAAACTAGCTGCATTTTATTTGACCTGTTTTCTATTGACATTTCTTTATATATATCCATAAAAATGATGCTGATTCATGATTTCGACTGGCTGAGAAAAGCTGCCTGCCTGTCGGTCTCGTCCCGACTCCCGACCCCGACACGTTCATTACTGTGGGACAGCTGGAGACTGAATTTAAATATTTAAACAATGTTGCAAATGTCAGAGAGACAGACCGCAAGGTTTATTAACATCTCTGCAGTTGAAAACCAATTGCTAGATTAAAAGAAATGGGAGATAATGTCAAGATGCTTTTTAAAGTGGAGATCAAGTTTATAAATTGCCTGGCTGGGCTGATGAGACAGTGGATTGGGCAGTCAGATGGAACAGAGTAAATAGGCATTTTAACATCATAGATTTAGCTGGTGGTAACTTGTGGAATAGACACCGGCTGGAATGCGGATTTAACCAATCAGCATTCAGGATTAGACCCACCCGTTGTATAAAGTACCGTACCATGACATCTGGACCATACAGCATACACAGTTGGTAGCTCTGCTTCCTTCTCTAATCTGACTCCATACAGCTTTCTGTTGTTCACTCACTGCTGTATGGAGCAGTAGCCTGATCCCAGATCAATCTGTGCTGTATGGCGGAGTAGCCTGATCCCAGATCAGTCTGTGCTGTATGGAGCAGTAGCCTGATCCCAGATCAGTCTGTGCTGTATGGAGCAGTAGCCTGATCCCAGATCAGTCTGTGCTGTATGGAGCAGTAGCCTGATCCCAGATCTGTCTGTGCTGTATGGAGCAGTAGCCTGATCCCAGATCTGTCTGTGCTGTATGGAGCAGTAGCCTGATCCCAGATCAGTCTGTGCTGTATGGCGGAGTAGCCTGATCCCAGATCAGTCTGTGCTGTATGGAGCAGTAGCCTGATCCCAGATCAGTCTGTGCTGTATGGAGCAGTAGCCTGATCCCAGATCAGTCTGTGCTGTATGGAGCAGTAGCCTGATCCCAGATCAGTCTGTGCTGTATGGAGCAGTAGCCTGATCCCAGATCAGTCTGTGCTGTATGGAGCAGTAGCCTGATCCCAGATCAGTCTGTGCTGTATGGAGCAGTAGCCTGATCCCAGATCAGTCTGTGCTGTATGGAGCAGTAGCCTGATCCCAGATCAGTCTGTGCTGTATGGAGCAGTAGCCTGATCCCAGATCAGTCTGTGCTGTATGGAGCAGTAGCCTGATCCCAGATCTGTCTGTGCTGTATGGAGCAGTAGCCTGATCCCAGATCTGTCTGTGCTGTATGGAGCAGTAGCCTGATCCCAGATCAGTCTGTGCTGTATGGCGGAGTAGCCTGATCCCAGATCAGTCTGTGCTGTATGGAGCAGTAGCCTGATCCCAGATCAGTCTGTGCTGTATGGAGCAGTAGCCTGATCCCAGATCAGTCTGTGCTGTATGGAGCAGTAGCCTGATCCCAGATCAGTCTGTGCTGTATGGAGCAGTAGCCTGATCCCAGATCAGTCTGTGCTGTATGGAGCAGTAGCCTGATCCCAGATCAGTCTGTGCTGTATGGAGCAGTAGCCTGATCCCAGATCAGTCTGTGCTGTATGGAGCAGTAGCCTGATCCCAGATCAGTCTGTGCTGTATGGAGCAGTAGCCTGATCCCAGATCAGTCTGTGCTGTATGGAGCAGTAGCCTGATCCCAGATCAGTCTGTGCTGTATGGAGCAGTAGCCTGATCCCAGATCAGTCTGTGCTGTATGGAGCAGTAGCCTGATCCCAGATCAGTTTGTGCTGTAAAGCCAGCTCCTATGACATGTTTGGCATGACAATGACCATATGTGTTGGCTAGACAGCACAAACTGATCTGGGACCAGGCTATTGGCTAGACAGCACAAACTGATCTGGGACCATTTTTGTTAACCTTTATTTAACTAGGCAAGTCAGTTAAGAACAAATTCTTATTTACAATGACGGCCTACACCGGCCAAACCCGGACGACGCTGGGCCAATTGTGCGCCGCCCTATGGGACTCCCAATCACGGCCGGTTGTGATACAGCCTGGAGTCGAACCAGGGGGTCTGTAGTGACGCCTCAAGCACTGAGATGGAGTGCCTTAGACCGCTGCGCCACTCGGGATCTGGGACCAGGTTATTGGCTAGACAGCACAAACTGATCTGGGACCAGGCTAAAAGAACAAGTCTGAGCGCTGAGCAAACTAAACCACATCTATCATGTCAGGGTCTGTAATATCTCCTGGACCAACTCTTACTGATGATGTGAAAGGTCAGTCCAGGTCAGCAGAGCAAGGCAAGGCTAAAGGCTTATCACCTTAGATGTCAATACTAGCATCATAAAAACAATGAAATCCAACTTCTTCTCCTGGATGATTGGAGGAGGAGTGTCTGTCTGTCTTCCTGTTTGTGTCCCTGTTTATTTACAAGGTCTCTCCTTGGCATCCCTTTCTTCATATGTCCTTTTCATTTGGTCTTTAGTTCATGAAGTCTTCTGTAGTTTTCATTCCCCCCCCCCACGGTGCAGATCCCGTCAGGCGGAGAGGGAGCGGGACCAAGCAGGGGAGGATAACAGACTGTTTAAACAGGAGTTTGGAGACAAGATAGACTCTCTACAGCTGGAGGTGGAACAGCTCAGGAAACACAGGTAACTAGGGTGGGTGGGGGGGTTGTGGCCCACTGTCCTCTGCTGTTCTGTATCCTCCAGCCTATCGCTATAGCAACTCTCTTATTCTGTGTGTGTGGTGTCAGGTCATGTTTGGAGCTGGAGCTGAGGAGGAGGAGGGGTGGAGGAGGAAGAGGTAGTCAGCACATAGACCTTGTTTCTGGGGAGAAGAAGACCTCTACCCCCCAGAGAGACCCCAAACAAGAGGGCGACATCAGGAAGGTACAAAACCCTGCTCCTAGCTCCTTCACAGGGAATTACATTTTCAGAGTTTCTTAAACTGTAAAAAAAAAAAAAAAAAAAAAAAAAAAAAAAAAACATCTAGAACAATCATGTTTTCAAGCTCATCTGAACTGTAATACTGAAAACCTGTTGAAATTCACCCCCACTAATAATGATGTTTGTTATAGGAACTGGAGGCAGTGAAGAAGGAGAATCATCAGCCGTGTACTGGGGTAGATGACAAGAGCAGTCTAGGGTCGAACATGTAAGTAATAGTTTAGTTAGGTTTAACTTGTACAATGTATTAGTGTACGGTTGAGTAAGTTTAGTCCTGTTAATCGGTGTAATTGCATCGCCTTGCTAAACAAAAGATGAACAAATCTCTCTCGTCTTGAAGGTCACTGTCACAAAATGAGGATGAGCAGGTAAGTTAAAACTACTTCAAACTGGTTCATACTTTGGTTCTAGTATATACTCAGATGTTAGACATGGAGCTGGCATTGTTGCTGTTTACCAACTATCAGATATTTCCTTCTCTCCAGGAGGAGTCTTTACTTGAGATCAGCCAGGCGTCCATCTGCTCTCTATGTGAACAGGAGGAGTCCATGACGAAGACCAAGGTACACCGCCTAACCACCTCCTCTTCTTCAGACATAATGACTTCCTCAAACTGAAGGGTTACACTGACGTGTCTCCGTATAGGATCCTCCCCCTGAGCTCCCCTAGACGAATCAATGTCTTTGTCTCAACTGGTTACTCAAAATAAGTTCTGCATTAAATCCTCCTGTTTTAAAATGTCTTGGTCTGTTGAAATCTATGGTGAATCTATGGGCGGCAGGTAGCTTAGTGGGTAAGAGCGTTGTGCCAGTAACCGAAAGGTCGCTGGTTCTAATCCCCGAGCCGACTAGGTGAAAAATCTGTCGATGTGCCCTTGAGCAAGGCACTTAACCCTAATTGCTCGTGTAAGTCGCTCTGGATAAGTGCGTCTGCTAAATTACCAAAAAAAAAAAAAAAAAGAAAAAAAAAAAGAACAGGTGGTTCTTGAGTTGGGCAATATTCTGTAGAGCAGATTATCTGAAATGAAGTCTGCTCTGTAACTTTCTATTGCTCTCTGTTAAAGGTTTTAACCCTTTCATTCTATAGAGCCAGTGTGTGCTAACTGTTTTAACCCTTTCATTCTATAGAGCCAGTGTGTGCTAACTGTTTTAACCCTTTCATTCTATAGAGCCAGTGTGTGCTAACTGTTTTAACCCTTACACACAAAAAAAAAATGTATGCACGCATGACTGTAAGTCGCTTTGGATAAAAGCGTCTGCTAAATGGCATATTATTATATTATTATTACTTTCATTCTATAGAGCCAGTGTGTGCTAACTGTTTTAACCCTTTCATTCTATAGAGCCAGTGTGCTAACTGCCATGGGGTGTTCTGTGACCGCTGTCTGGCCAATGAGCTGCCCCTCCCCTCCTCCATCAACCCTGAACATATCTGTGACTCCTGCTCCTCTCAGCTGCTGCAGCGGTACGCCTCCAGCCCACCCTGAGACACACCAGCTCTGCCTGGAATACAGTGTCATTCACTGTTAAAATATCTAAAGGAACGGGCGACTTGATGACTACATGAAAAACTAACTTGGGAATAGTTCAACTGGAGCATCTATCTAAAATAGTCTCCGCATACTGTTAGCAGGGTTGGAGGGTGTTGGCAGAAAGGTAGACGTTCAGAGCCTGGTCCCAGATCTGTTTGGAGGGGTTGGTAAAAAGGTATATTTTCATAGCCTGGTCCCAGATCTGAAAGGAGGGGTTGGTAAAAAGGTATATTATTTTCATAGCCTGGTCCCAGATCTGAAAGGAGGGGTTGGTAAAAAGGTATATTATTTTCATAGCCTGGTCCCAGATCTGAAAGGAGGGGTTGGTAAAAGGTATATTATTTTCATAGCCTGGTCCCAGATCACTAAGGACGGGTTTGGTGGGGGTTGGTAAAAAGGTATATTTTCACAGCCTGGTCCCAGATCTGTAAGGAGGGGGTTGGTAAAAAGGTATATTTTCACAGCCTGGTCCCAGATCTGTAAGGAGGGGGTTGGTAAAAAGGTATATTTTCACAGCCTGGTCCCAGATCTGTAAGGAGGGGGTTGGTAAAAAGGTATATTTTTATATGGTGTCCTGGCAAAATAAAACCAGTAAACTATGAGCCAATCACAATCATTTAAAAAAAGAAAGAAAAAATGTAGGCTATTACATCATTATTAGTCATTACCGCATGTCAGAGGCATTGGAAACATTATTAGTCATTACCGCATGTCAGAGGCATGGGAAACATTAGTCATTACCGCATGTCAGAGGCATGGGGAGGAAACGGGTGGTATAGCCTACATGTAATAATAATTATATTGGCTCCAATCGAGAAAACTGACGTGTTGCCAAGCAGAGCTGAGTGGCCGTCTCCGAGACGCGTGCGGACAGCAGTGGATGCATACATTCTGGCCTAATGACAATCGGCAAATGTCATTTTACATTTTTGGGTGTTTTGTGTAACATATCTCTTTCCATTCACTACTGTTTGGATGCTGGAAATATGTTGCTAGTGCATGAACGTGTGCAGGGGCCCGTTGAAGAGATCGTTTGACAATTGGGTGAAAACATCATGACTGGTTATGTTTATGCCACAATAAAAGTTAAATGACAAATCTTTACAACTAGACCCACAGATATCCTATAGAGAGTAATAATACCCATAAAACCGAGCTGTCAAACAAAACGCAACATTGTATATGCATTTTTATTTAGTCATTTTAAGATGTCTAATTTCTTAATGAAGGGATTGTATTGATCTGGCAGCTTCTGTACATGTAGACCAGACAGGCTGTGTTCTCTGGAAGATCAAGACAACCCAAATATTCTTTAAAGAAACCAGATGAAAAATGTTTACTTGCTCAACAATAAACTGTTATCAAGTTTACTAAACCTGTCCTGGTTTTATTTATGGTGAAATGGGATCTACTGTTGGTGTGAGGTCCTGTTCTGTACCCTTTACGACGTACTTCTAAATCCAACTATTAGGAGCCTTTTTCAACTCATTGACAGAATTACAACACTTCACTGCATGTTCCAAATATATAAACCTGTTCCATAGAGACATAGCTCCTTATTATAAACCTCTGGCCCGAACTCTACCTGAATCCTAGACAGCGCTAGAGGAGAGACTGAC